GAAGGGAGAGTGTTGACATGTCGTGGGGTTGTTAACCAATGTCATAAAACAATATGTGTACTGACTGTTTAATGAGAAACTATTTGTTGTGTACACCTTCACCTAAAGTACAATAAAAAAAAAAAAAGCAATTCATCTAATAAGAATTCACATCTATTGCACGCTCACTGTGCATTAAGTGCTCTACACACATTGCCTCTTTACTCTGAAACAGGTCTGGCAGAGAGTTCTGTGCAGGGGCAGAAACGAGGACTCAGAAAGGGGCAGTCACTTCCCTAAGGCAACACAGCCTGCATGAGGCCTGACAGTGAAGCCCATGCCCCCCTCCCATCACCCCAGGGCCATCCCTAACGCTGTTTGACAGTGCCCTGGGTGCCCCACTCACCACCACAGGCTGCCGGAAATACTCATCCACAGCGGCACCTCGGAGGGCTGACAGGTCCACTCCATGGAAGGATGGCTGGTACCTGCAGAAAGCCCCCCAGCCCACAGCAAAGTCAGCAGCAGCAGGAGAGGCAGGTAGGGTAGCCCTACCTTCTCTCCCACCTGGTCCTCCTCCAAGTCAAGTCTTTCAGATACTATTCAAGATAAGGGAAAAACAGAAGAGAGGGAGGGCCACCTGGGGTTTGGGAGACCATCTCAGTGAAGGCCCAGGGCAGGACACATGTGGGTACTCACCAGAAGTTGGCCTTGGTGAACTGCTCCATGTAGAGCTGTTCATCTGTAAACGGCGCGAGGTGGACATCACCAATGGTGGGGAACATGTTTCCTGGGAGTTGAGGGCAGGAAGGGGTGCTGGCATCAGGGCGGGACATCCTGCAGGGTCTGGCAGAGCCTCTAAAAGGTCCCAGGCCCCCAACCCTGAGCCTTCCCAGCCCTTCAAGCATTTATTAAACAGAGTACTTAGAGCCAGTGGCCACAATGAGCACTGGATGTGCACTGCCTCACTGAATCTAGACAATGATCCTGGGAGGCAGGTGGACCTGTCATTATGTCCCGTTACTAGGGCTGGGAAGCAGGAAGGGACCTACTAGAACCTCACAGATAAGGAAGTGGTGGCCCAGGACTTGGGCACTGCTCCCATTGGCTAGGCCATTTCTGTCAGATTCTAGTCATCCACGGTCCTGCAGCCAGGGAAAGCAAAACAAAGTTGCTCCAAACAGAGAGGGTAGGGCCCAGGCTGTGGCTGTGGCCCCGGTTGCGTCTGCAGACCTTAGCTGAGGCCAGATCTTGGATAGGGGTTAGGCTGAATCCACACCACTGGGACTGCCCAGGCTCTGGCACAGACTTCAGGCTGGCGGGGTGGGCCTGTGGCCAGGCTGGTCTCGCCTGTGCCCTGAAAGGGCAGAGTGGAGGGGGTCAGGGTCCTCCATCTGTGCGACTCAACGAACAGACGGGTAAGTCAGGACCAGTGGCTGGGAGAAACAGAGCTCCGGAGGTCCTGTCCACCCTCGGGGAGCCTAGGGCTCCAGATCACCTGGCATCCAGATGTGGGCCTCCCCCACCCTCCTCTCCAGGAGAGAGGGCCTGAGATGCCTGTGGACGCTGCCTTCTCCTTGCCCGCTTCAGGCTGCACCAGAGGCTAGAAATGCTCGACTCTGGCTCAGAGGACACTCACTGGGCCACCTGCCCTGGAGGAGGATCCTACTAGACACCTGGGGGACTTCACGGGGAATAGTGCCCCCAGCCCCGAGGGTACCTCTGGCTCCTGCTGGCTAGGAGATGTGCGGCTGGGGAGCAAGCTCCCTGTAATCCACCAAAGAGCTTTCTGAGCTAGAATGAAGACCCTCTCCAGGCGGACAGGGGGAGGGCAGGTGGCTGGCCCCAGGCCTTGACCAGTGGGAGGACACTGCACTGGCATCAGAACCTGAACCCTGTGCATCTTGCTGCTGGGGAGGAGCACAGAGTGGGAGGTAATCGGGTCTAGGACAAGCCCCAGGAGCAGCCTCGTTCCTCCACTTCCCCCCTCCCAGGACATGGGGCACAGCTGCAGGGAAATGGCAGCCACCTCCCGCCTCTAGGAGCAGAGCCCCAGGCTGGCCCCTGCAACCTGGATCCAGGGAAGGCAGAGGATCCAAGTGGTTGCTTCCCCACAGACCAGTCACTCGGCTGCCATGGCGCCTCACCAATCTGCCTGCTTCCCGTGCTCTACCCCCTGCCTGCTACCCTGGCTGGGAACCTCCTGTGCCACATGTACATATACACGCAAACAGATACAACCCCTTCCCCGAACAGAAACACTCACACATAGACATATACCCAGACCAGAGCAGAGAAGTGGACACACAGTGACAAAGACTGGCAGATGTTCAGGGCTGTGCACAGCTGCCCAGCGACATAGATACACAGATATAAACAGTCACCCAATGACTCAGAAGCAGACCATACCCAGGCGCATGGACAGGAAAGCATGGTGACATGAACAGGTGACAGATGGGCAGACTAGGCAACTGCCATCCCCCACTCACCCAAAGTCATACATATAAAGCAACCGCCCACTCACACATACACACATACAACCTCCCCACCCTCTCTCTCCCTCCTTCACACACACAGACACACACACACACACACACACACACAGACACACACATACACACATACACATGAACCTCCACCCCATATCTCCTTGACTCTCAGGAGAGCGGAGACCTGTCAGGGCAGTACACGCAGGTAAGGGAAAGGTTTACAGTTGAAGGATGAGGAAGATAGATCAGCTCCTTCAGGGAAACTGCCTGCCTCAGGACACAACTACATTCTTTGCACCCTGTCACAACCCCTATCCCAAGCCAGAGACTGTCCCTGGGGGTCAAGGCACGTGATGGAAGGTATAACCCCGAAGCTCTCTGGGGTCCTGAGGGGGCCGCTCGGCACCCAGACCGGGAGGGGTTAGGCAGGCAGATATCTGGCCTTGTTTGGGACCCAGGTCTTCTGAAGCTACAGCAGCTGGGGTCAGGTTGGGGAGCCGGGGGCAAAGGCCCAGAGTCCCCTTGCTCACTAAGCCCCCAACACAGGCGAGGAGGGAGCTGAACTCCAAACATGCTGGTGGGTGCACCCCTGGCCCCGGAGCCCAGAGAGCCCCCAGAACTCCCAATGACACAACCCGGCACTGCCTGGCAGCTGCCCACACGCCCCTGTGTGCTGCAGGGACACTCACCACTGGGCTTCAGATACTTTTTGGCGTGGAGGTAGCTCTCCAGCATGCGCTCGTTGAAGAGCATGTAGCCCATGGGCTCCGAGATGATGATGTCCACCTGCTCGGGGAGTGAGACCTCCTCCACCTTCCCAGGGATGACCACGATGCGGTCGGTGAGGTTGTTACTCTTCACCAAGACCTGCAGGCGGGCAGGCGGGCCAGAGGGGTCATGGAGAGGTCCCTGCACCTATCCTCCACAGGGTCCTCGCTGGACCCCAACGCCAATGCAGCCCTCCTCTCGAGGGAGGGCCTCCATCCATATCTGGCCACCAAATCCACCTTGCCCTCCCTTATAAGCACCCTACCATCCACCAAGAGCCCTCTGCCAGGGCCTCCCCTGTCGCAGCCCCTGACCCTCACCTCTACCCCACGAGGGCAACTATCACTGGGAGTTGAGACGGGTACAAGTACACTTCGCAACAGCCACTGAACTTAGAGCTGGCCATATCTCCTGACCCTAGGGTTCCATGGCTAGGAATTTATCCCACAGCCGGTTGCCCGCGAGAGCGGGGACACATGGTGAAGGGTCGGTGCAGCATTGTTGGTAATGGAAAAAATTTGGAAACAGGCTCAACGTCCATAAATAGGAGACTGGCTGAAGAGACAATGGTGTGTCCAGCCACTAAAAGAATGAGGCAAGTCTTTAAATCATGACCCAGAACAGCCCCAAGACACAGCAGAAAGGGAGCAAAGCAAGGTGCAAGATGGCACTATGCTGCCACTTCTATGAGAAATGGGGGCAGGGTGGGGGGAAGTACGTGTCCACTGATAAATCCATGGTATCTCTCTAGAAAGATTTTCTGTTATCTGTCTCCCTCCAGGGAGGGGTCTAGGTGGTTGGGAGCCAGAAAGTGGGGAGAAAAGCATTCTCACTGTCTACCCTTTCATAACTTTTGAATTTTGAGCCTTCTGAAGGAAGGTTTGAGTGCCAAAAGAAAAAGGAAAAAAAAAGACGACACTCAAACTGATCAAACACTGTTGTCCACATTGTGGCGATGTGAACAGTGGGGCCCAGGGAGGTTGTGCTGCTCACCCAGGGCTGCCCAGGCTGCTGTGTGACTTCACAGTCCACCCCCTGCAGCACGAGGCTGGCCAGCCTCCAAAGACCCCAAGTGGCCCCTGAACCCGGCAGACGTCCAGCCAGTCATGGAGGTGGCACTACCTCAGGCCCAGGAAGCCCCTCCTTCCCACGAGCACTCTGGTTTGGGACAAAGTAGAGACCAAAGCGTAGAAGTGACATCCTTAGGCTCCCTGGACCCAGGGGCCAGGCCTCCTGAAACCCAGAAGGCCTTCCTTGAAAGGACCTGGGCTCCTGGCAGGGCCACCCACCCCCCGCCTGACTGCTGCCAGGGTGCAGGGCTGAAGGACGTGGGTGAGCATGGGGTGGGGTCCCAGCCGGCCACTGACCTCTGCATGCTGGGCCATGGTGCTGGCCTCCACTGCGTAGATCTTCCTTGCTCCAGCTTGGGCCGCAAAAAACGAGAGGATCCCAGAGCCACAGCCAACATCAAGAACAATCTGGGGCGGGGAGATGAGAAGACACTGGTGAGGTGACAGCAGCCGTACAGTGCTCACATTTACCAGGCTCACTCTGGCCAGGCTGACTGAGCAGAGTGCTCTCCGTGCATGACTAGATGGTTCAAAACCGTTCAACACAGTTGATGTTCTTCCTGCTCAGAGAGGCGAGGTCCCTTGCTCAGAGTCACAGAGCTGGTGAATGGTGGCACCAAGGGTTACAGCCAAGCCTGTCTTCACTCTCAATTTCTGCCCTGCACAGGCTCTTGGTCAAAATAAAGGAAGATGAAATAAATAAGACTGAGCCATGGGCCAGGCCCTGCCTAAGCACCTGAGCTGTGTCACCCCACTGACTCCTGGGGCCAGCACTGGAAGGGAGAGGCTGCAGCGGGGCTAGCCTGCACAGGTTCCCACAGTGAGGAGGCAGCCCCTGGGCCTGGCCCATGGCTAAGCCTGAGTTCTCGGCCTCAGGTGCCGCCCTGCAGCTCGCTGCCCCTCAACATGGGCCAGAGGCCACAGGTTGGAGTTTGAAAACCACCTGCAAGCACGTGAGAGCCCCATGTTCTGGATGAGAAGGCAGTAGGACAGGATTTCTAAAGGCTCATTATTGGACCCGTTTCAAAAAGGCAACAGTTTGGGCTGTGAACTGTCTCCGCAGAAAGGTGAGCACCCCGCTGTCACAGTGTCCCCGCAGCTTCTCTGGGAATGAGTGCTCACCAGGCAGGGACACCTCAGGGTCCTGCAGCATGACCACTGAGGCTCAAGTTGGACCAGCCAGGCCCATAAAGCGGACATGAGGCAGCAGCTCTCTGGGGAAAGCTCCCACTCGGCCTCCACCCTGTGGCTTCAGGCTGCTTGATCATCTGGGGTGAAGGGCATGCTCCCCCTAAGCCTGTGCTGTAGCCAAGAGGTGTCGTTCTGGCCTCTGCAGCCCTCACACGGTGAAAAGGGCCCTGGGGGGTGTTGGTGGCAGTGTCTCCTGGCTCCATGCTGACCCCTGCCTGGAGAACAGCCAGCGGCTCAGCTGAGGCAAGTAGATGCCGAAGCCCTGGGGCAGCTGGACTCCCTGTCTGTCTTCAAAGAGTCCAGGCAGTGTCTGGTAGAATGTCCCGTGTTCTGGATTTTGTGACTGTTCACTCATGAGCAGAATCAGGACTGATGTTTCTGGCAGGAACATGGCAGAGGCAGTGATGGGCAGAGCACGTGATGGGCATGAGCGTGCCAAAGGAGGAATGCTCTGGGCGCAGTGCCGGGCAGAGTGCTCATAGCTAGGGGAACGCCCCAGGGTACCTCTCAGAGCTCTAGCTGAACCAAGACATGGATCTCCATCCTGGGAGAGCTGGAGGGACTTCCCCGAAGGAGGAGGCATTTCCGGGACCCCCAGCACTACTCTAGCATGGCTCCAACCAGCGGCCGGGAGGAAGGCGGGATGCCAGGAGGGCAGACAGCAAGGTGCACAACAGCGCTGCTTGTCAAAACTCCTCCCCAGGCCACAGGGGCCCAGGGACTGGGACCCAATGCCCTGAGGGGCTTCTTGCACTGCAGGAGGTGCAATGCCATGGCACTAGATGCGGCAGGTCCTCGTGGACCCAAGATATGTCCAGGAAAAAACCAGGCTCCAATGTGGTTAAAAAGCAAAAACAAACTCTGGGCAACAGGACACGTGAGAAGTAAACTTCCACCTTTTAACATACGTACTGTGTACTGACTCTTCTCCCTTTTTTATCATGGGTCTACGTTACTTCCACCGCCTGTCTGCGAGTCTGTCATACTGTGATGGCGTGTGTGTTCCTGGGATGCTGGAGGCTCTGCCACCAGTATTTCAAATACCAGCAGGGTCACCCATGGTGGTGGATGGACTTCAGCAGAGCTTCCAGACTACGACAGACTAGGAAGAAAGGCCTGGTGATCTACTTCCAATGAAAACCCTATGGATCACAACCGAATACTGTCCAAAAGAGTGCTGGGAGATGAGCCCCCTGGCTGGAAGGCACTACACAACAGTTCCAACAATGGACCAGGCAACATTTTGTTACATTGTACGTAGGGTTGTCATGAGTCGGAGCCCACAGCAACTACCACCACCACACTTGACTTGAGAATATTAAAAAGATTTAAAAGGAACTAGGGAAGTGAGTGAATAAATTACGGCACATGCACGTGGGGAAATACTATACGAGAAAGTATTGTGACACGCGCATTGATGTGAAAGATGTCCCAAGACACTATTAGGTGGGGACAAATGTTTTGCAGGAAAAGTATGCTTAATATAATCTTGTTTTTTAAAAAAAAGGTATATATATATATTAAATTTAGTCATTCTGAAATATATGCTGGGATACAGACAGGGAAGATGTGGAAGAAGAGACTTTATACTGTTGGCAGTGGTTGTTCTGAAGAGATGTGCTAGAGGCCTTTCGTGCCTACACTGTACACACTGTGTTCAGAGTTTTTATAATGAGTAGACTTTACTTTTGTAATCAGAAAAAATAAAAGATAAAATCAATGATCAAAGAAAAAAAAGCAGAGGTAACTGACTGCCTGAGGCAGGCGGGGGGGAGCTGAGGGAAGGGGCGCAGGAGGCCCATGACTGCAGGGAGAAGGGGGAGGAGGGGCCCAGCAGCTCCGCTCAGCCTCCCTGGCACTTCCAGGGCCCTGGCCCTCCCACTCGCCCTCAGGCTTGGCAGCCGAGGCCTTCAGGGCTTCAGTCCTCACACACACTGGTGCCCAGGCTTGGCCCTCACCTTGTCCTTGAAGTCAGTGTGGTTCTGCAGGATCGCACGCTGGTAGGTGCCTGTCCGCACGTAGTCCTGCATCATGTTCTGCTGCTGGGACAGGTAGCCATAAAACTGGAACAGAGACACACCAATGGCAGCAGGGCACGCTGTGGCACAGAAGGCCCAGGCCCTGGTGGCCCTGCAGCAGAGGGGGGTCATCTGGGGCACAGACCTCACTTGGGAGGCTGCAAGCCTTCTGCGGGCCCCCGGTGGCTACTCCAGGAGAGGGAGCAGGGAGCTAGAGGGCAGCCCGCAGGAGGGCCACTGCCACCCTCACAGCCACTGTGGCTGGAAGGACCCAGCTGCAGGCTGCCTGGACCTAAATGCCACCCAGGAGAACTCAGATTTGCCACAGGTGGGGTTCTGGGGTCCGGGGCCACCTGCCCCATCCTAGGGGCCCCAAGAGGAGGAGGGGCAGATAAACAGAACCCTAGAACTCAAGAGCGCCAGGCAGATGAGGTGCAGTGTCTCTCTGTAAGACAACAGGCAGTCAGGAGGCAGCGTGGCACCTGGGCAGGGGCACAGGCTTTGGCATCAGGCAGACCTGGCTTCCCATCTTGGCTCTTTTGCATAATAGCTGTGTGACTTGGAGCAAGTCACTTAACCTCTCTGAGCCTCAGTTTTCTCATCTGTAAAATGGGGACAATAACAGTACTTACCTCCTAGGGTTGTTGGGAGAATTCAGCTGCTTCTGTACATGTAAGAGAGCTTAGACCAGTCCCGGACATGTGATACTGTTCAATAAATTTTAACTGCTCTATCATTATCATTGAAAACTCCTGTGAACCTGAGCTTCCTCTGCAATTAAATCCTTCCAGCAATCCTCTCAGGCAGGCACTTGCATCATTTCACAGATGAGGAAACTGAGGCCCAGCAAGTCTAGGAGATCTGCCCAAGGTTACGCGGCTAGTAAGGGGCAGAGCCAGGGCGTGACTCAGGTATGCCTGTCCCATGCTTTGAGGAGCCATGGTGCACCACTGCCTCCTGCGGGCTGGTGGGATGGGGCTGTTGGTGAGGAGCCTGGTGTGGGTAGGCACCACACCCACCTGGAAGTACTGCACAGCAGAGGACTCCTCCGTCCGCTCACTGAACACGGACCGCTCCAGGGTGTGGCCCCGGCAGGTTTTCAGGATGTTGTAGAAGGAACAGAAATCTGGAAGGGGAAGCCAGGTCACTGAGGGGTGGTCAAAGACCCGCTCTAGGAAGCCAGCACAGATGGCCATCCCAGGCAGTGGGTTCGAATAGGCCAGTGGCCTTCTTCCTGTCTGGCTACACATCCTGACTTATCTACCTGGAGCATGTGGGACTTGGTGATTTCTTTTTCCCAAAAGCAATGTTAACATGTAAAGGAAAAGAAGAAGGGCAGTCAGGCCTGCCAACTGGTAACTGACACAAGGCAAAGGCAGGTGTCTCACGCTCTGGGGTGGAGTGTACTTGTGGGTCTCATGGGACTGGGTCTAGGCACATCCTTGCTAAAGGGCAGGGGGCCAAGCCTGGAAGGGTGCCTGATACTGACCCGGGCTGCAAACCTCTAGAATCACCCCAGCAGCAAACTACTGCACGTCCGCCAAGAGGCTCACGGCAGGGAGCGTGGCAGTGGACACAAGAGGCGCAACCTCAAAGTCTGGATCGGCCACAGAGAGCACATAGAGAACAAACCACATCCCGCCCACAGGAAGGAGGGCTATGCAACCCTTTAAAATGATCCATACAGATCAGCACAGGGATGACTTCAACATCACAGCAAGTAAAAAAAGAGAACGGTATTAATAATATGATCTTTAAAAAAAATTAAATATTCATAGAATAGAAAAAGACTAGAACTAGAAGGATTTATACTACCAACTGTTAATGCTTAACCCTGGCATGTATTTTTTTAAACAGTGAATTTTGATTATTTATGTACTTAAAGAAACAGATTGCACCCGTAACAACGCCTCAGCCAGAGGACAGCCCGCCGGGCCCAGCCCTTTCTGCGATGCCGCATGAGTAGCCTGTCCAAGGCTCATCTGGGCCCTGGAAGACACCTCTGTGGGGGCATGGAGACAAGGTAAGAAAGCCTCCTGGGAAAAGCTAGAGACGGCCAAACTCTCCAATGTCACCTCTCCACCGCCCTCGTCCCTGCGCCGACCAAAAGACTCCAGTGAGTACACCCTTTGCTCAGCCTTCCATCTCCAGCCCACCTCCACAGCTAGCGCCCACCTCATCCAGTGGCATGCATGCCTGCCCTCCACAGCTCGCCTCAGGCATCTCGTGGGTCCGCTCGTGCCCCCCAGAGAAGTCAGGCAGCCTTCTCTCTGCACTCAGAACAAATCCTCCGCCCACCTCTAAGATCTCACCACTCTGCATCAGCTATCTCTGGCCACAGCCTCACTTCCCTGACAAGCTCCCTCAGGAGGCCTGGGAGCTGCTGGGACTGCGTGGTCAGGACAAGCCTCTCGGGGGAGGGGACAAGGAACCAGTGGGGGCGGTGGGGGGGGTCTGGGTAGAGTATTCCAGGCAGTGGAAATGGATTCTTACTGTGAGTCTATTTCCATGTGGGAATGTGCTTTTTGACCTTGGGTTTGGATTGGGCCATGCTTTAACCAGGCCCCAGAGGCCCCTGTCTTGAAGTCCCAGGGGCAGAAGGGACTCACCATTCGGCGTGGCAAACTGGATGAGGACGCTGTTGCAGCCCAGGGTGATGATGAAGGACTGCTTGCCCACACGGCTGCACTCCGTCTCTCGGGACACAGAGCACTTAAACACACACACATCTTCATCTATGAGAGAAGAGAGTACTGATGTGAGGTGGCAAGTCCCTGGGGCTGACTTTGTCAAGGCCGTGCCCCCGCCCCCTCACCCTCCCTTCTCTCACCAGCCCCCAGATTCTTCCTGGTACCTCATAACCTGCCCTCTCAGCCTGTGCCCTCAAGAGCTCACTGTCTAGGTAGAGGACAAATATCCAAGGTCCTGGCTGAGACCAGGAGCCCAGGTGCAGTGGGGCCCAGCCTGGGGGCTGGGAAGGCCACCCAATGCAGGACACCTCTGCCAGAACATTCTTTCGGGGAACACCTCCTGGTGCCAGGCCCCGTGGGTCCACTGGGCATAGCCCTGGTCCCCAAGGAGGCACAGGCAAGAAAAGGGCAACCACGACAAGGTCAGAGGGGCTACGGGAACCTGGCAGGGCGCCCGGGCCTAGCTGATGAAGTCAGCCATTCATTCTACAAACCTACTCTGTCACATGGTGGGTTTAGTGGGTGTGACCAAGAGGTGTGTCAACGAAAGAATTCCCTGAGGTGCCTCTGCTTTCTTTAGCTGAGCCCTTTCATCCTTGCATTTCCATAGTGTGAGGTGTGAACACTGTGTGGGTCCATGCCCCACCTATGCCTCTTACTTAGTGTGTGATGTGGGCAGCTCACTTAGCCTCTCTGAGCCTCAGCTGTCCTATCTGTCAAATGCGGATGATAGTGGGGCAAGGATCCAGTAAGTTCTTCCCATTGCCGCTGAGTTGATTCCAACTCATAGTGACCCCACAGGACAGAGGAGAACTGTCCCATAGGGGTTCCAAGGCTGTAATCTTTACGGAAGCTGACTGCCACATCTTTCTCCCAGGGAGCAGCTGGTGGGTTCAAACCGCTGACCTTTCAGTTAGCAGCCAAGCACTTAACTACTGAGCCACCAGGGCTCCTCAGTAAGTTCTTACATACACTCATTAGAGTGTCTGGCACACAGGAAGCACTGTATCAGAGTGCCCATCATTAGCTTCATCATGATAAGTCATTCACTCATTCAACAAGCATGTGCTGCACCCCCCCTTGGCCACACAGGGCAAACCAACACGATGTGTGCCACCTGATGCGTGCAGCAGAACACAGGTAGCACCTGTGCAGTACTATAACCCAAGCAGAGTCACAGGAAACAACAGACAACTCCAGACTGTGGGACATTCTGCAAGACAGCCTGCCTGCCAATGTGAGGAGAGACAAAAAATCGCTGGAATTATTCTAGAGAGAAGGAGACTAAAGACAGTAGGCCATCAAATGCAGAGTGTGATCCTGGACTAGAGCCCAATTTAAAAAGTTTAAAAAGCTATAAAAGGCAACCGGAGGAATCTGAGTATGAACTGTACATGAGGTGATTTTAAATTGTTTGGATGTGACAACAGTATTGTGGTTCTGAAGGAGAACGCCATTGTTCTTGGAAGACACATGCGAAGTATCTGGGGTGAACTCTCATGATGTCTGCAACTGGCTTTCGAATGTCATCAAACAAACAACGAGATACAGGCTCAGAGAGAAGCAGGAGTGCAAATGTGGCAAAACGTTCCCAATCACCCCAAACAGCTAAAAAATACAGTTGAAAATGAAGAACGAAACTGGAAGCGTCACACACTTCCCAATTTCAAAACTTACTACAAAGCTACAGTAATCAAAACAGTGTGGTATTGGCATAAGGATAGATACACAGACCAATGGAATAAAATTAAGAATCTAGAAATAACCCATACATCTTTGGCCAAATGATTTTTGACTACGGTGCCAAGACCACTCAATGGGGAAAGAACACTCTCTTCAACAAATGGTGCTGGGACAACTGGATCTCCAAATGCAAAAGAATGAAGCTGGACCCATACCTCACACCACATACAAAAATTAACTCAAAATGGATCAATGATCTACATTTAAGAGTTAAAACTATAAATCTCTTAGAAGAAAACACAGGGATGTAAATCTTCATGACCTTAGATCTGGCAATGGATCCTTAGATTAAAAAAAACCCAAACCTGCTGCCGTCAAGTTGATTCTGACTCATAGTGATCCTATAGGGCAGAGGAGAACTGCCCCAAAACAAAAGCACACGCATCTAAAGAAAAAATAAATTGGACTTCAGCAAAATTAAAAACTTTTGTGCATCAAAAGACAACTACACCAAGAAAGTGAAAGGACAACCAACAGAACAGGAGAAAATATATGCAAATCATATCGAATAAGGATACAGTATCCAGAATATATAAAAAACTCTTACAACTCAACAACAAAAACAACGACTTAATTTAAAAATGGGCTAAGAACTTGAATAGACAATTCTCCAAAGAAGATAAACAAATGGCCAACAAGCACACGAAAAGATGCTCAACTTCATTAGTCATTAGGGAGATGCAAATCAACACCACAATACGGTACCACGTCACACTTACTAGGATGGCTATAATTTAAAAACAAAAATAAAATGGAAAATAACAAGTATTGGCCAGGATGTAGAGAAAATGGAATCCGAGTCCACTGCTGGTAGGAATGTAAAATGGTGAAGGCACTGTGGGACAGTTTGACAATTCTTCAAAAAGTTTAACACAGAATTACCATATGATGACCCAGCAATTCCACTCCTAGGTATACACCAAAAAAAAAGAAAAAAGAAAACAGGTATTCAAGAAAATATTTGTACACACATATCCATGGCAGCATGATTCACAATAGCCAAAAGGTAGAAACAACTCAAATGTCCATCAACAGATGTCTGATAAACACACCAGCGGATACTTGATAAACAAAATATGGTATATCCATACAATGGAGTATTATTCATCCATAAAAAGGAATAAAGTACTGATATACTACATGTGGCATGTACAATGTGGCTGAACCTGGAAAACATTATGCTAAGTGAAAAGCCAGATACAAAGATCACATACTGTATGATTCCATTTGTACTAAATATTCAGAATAAGTAAATCCACAGAGACAGAAAGTGAATGTGGTTGCCAGGGGCTGGTGGGAGGGAGGAGTGGGGAGTGGTTGCTTGATGGGTATGGAGTTTCCTTTTGGGGTGATGAAAATGTCTTGGAACTAGATAGAGGTGGTGGTTGCACAACAACGTGAATGTATGAAATGCCACTGAATTGAACGCTCTAAAACGCTTTACGTTATGTGAATTTCACCCTAAAAAATAAAAAAGAAGTTCCCAACTGTTGAGTCCAGATAAGGGCCCATAAGTGTTCACTTGCTCTCCTTTTGTGCAGTCTGAGCACTAGACATTGGCAAGGGCCAGGTTCTGGAGGAGGGCTCCCTGGGCCATGGCCAGAGCTCTGCCAGACCCCCTCACATCCCAGGAGCCAGGTGCTACCCTTTGGGGGGTGGGGTAGGGGGGAGCGCATGGCGCGAACCTCCTGACCATGGACAGGAGGGAAGAGGATACTGACAGGTGACTGCTTGGGCTCACAGCCACATTGCACCCATGGGGACACAAGACAAGGTGCTTCCAAGTAAGTGCCAGTGAGGGACCCCAAGCCTTGGCAGTATGCCCATGCCCACACCCCTCCTGGGGCAGGAGATAAAGCCAATCAATCAGCTGTGCCTGGGTGATAGGGAGCAGACCCAAGGAGGGCCACTGTTTACGAAGCAGCCTGGCAACCCGACCAGTTGCCTTCAGCGTCCCCCTCCAACCTGGCGCCAGGCGGGCGACCACAAGGATCTGTGGCCAAGGGAAGCTTGGCTGCATCCAGCAGGGGCTGGGCTTGGGCCAGGGAAGTCGGCGCTGAGGGACAGTGATCTGTCCATCATATCTGCAGCAAAGCCCACGGGACCAGCATTTTCTGATTGGCATAGCTATACACCAAACAAGTTCTTGGCATATAGGAGACACTCAGTAAATGTTTGACAAGCCAAAACAAAGCTGGATCATGCTCCTCCCTGCTTGTAAAAGCCTCCAGGACAAGTCTGTGCTCTCAGACTGGCAGTCAAGGCCCTGCATGACCTGCACTCATCCTCACTCCTCAAGCCTCTCCACCCCCAGCCCCTTCTCCAAGGCCACCACACTCCACACCCCAAATGGGCCAGGTTCCAGGCCCTTGCACATGCTGTTCCCTCTGTGGTTCCATTCTCCCCTTTCCCCCTCCCTCCCTCCATTAGGATGGGTCCTTAAATGGTATTACTATGTCCCTTCTAGTGGACAAGTGGGCTTGGCTCAGTGTCTGGTCCAGGGTGACTTGCAGTCAGATAGAAATGTAAACTTGCCTCCCGGCTCCCGAATGGCACCCCAGGCAGGGGGTCCTGGACCCAGCAGAGGCAATTAGGATCCCCTTTGGCTGTGGTCCTGTCCAACCAGGAAACTTCCCGGCAGACTCAAAGGTTGGTGCCCATTCTTTCCCGTCACTTTCTTCCTCACCCAAGTGTGGGTGAGCCATGGAAGGGGGGGGGGACTTGAGGGCGAAGCAGTTCTTAGAGACCCCAAGCTTTAGAAAGGTCCTCCAGCCCTCGAGTGTCTCTGTGTCCCACCTCCAAGCACTAACCCAGAAAT